GCGGCCGGAGCCTCTGGCCCTTTAAATCCCCACTTGAGCCTGGCTGCCGGAGTCCCAGGGCTCCGGCAGCCAGGCTCGGGCGGGGATTTAAAGGGCCCAGGGCTCCACACGAATTCGATATAACGCGGTAAAGCAGTGGGGCTCGGGCGGCGCTTTAAAGGGCCCGGGGCTTCCCGCTGCTTTACCGCGTTATATCCGAATTTGTGTTATATCGGGTCGTGTTATATCGGGGTAGAGATCTACTATTTCTTTTATCATTTTTACAGGGCAAGTATTTTGTAATAAAAAATAATATACACTTTGATTTCAATTACAACACAGAATACAATATATATGAAAATGGAGAAAAACATCCAAAATATTTAATAAATTTCAATTGGTATTCTATTGTTTAACAGTGCAATTAAAACTGCGATTAATCGTGATTACTCTTTTTAAGTTAATCTCATGAGTTAACTGCGATTAATCGACTGCCCTAGTAATTGGGCCTGGCACCTGGACTCCCTCCTTAGGCCTTGTCCCCACTCACCAACACGGTAATTCACCACCAGTGGTAGCAAAGGTGGAAGCTGTAGTGTAGACAGGGCGTGGGTCTCTTGTCACAGTGTTGTCTAACCCTAAGGAACCACACTGCGGTGAATTACAGCTATGAGCTTTGCTAGTGTAGATGCAGCCTCAGTGCTGTCATTTCAGAAAGTGTTGTTCTGTGCTAAGAGATGTTGATAAGCTAATTGGGAAGTGGAACCCATGTTAGATTTCTGCTCTTTGACTCCACTCCACCCCACCCCACTCCCCTGGCCTGTAGCAATCTGTGTGATTTCAAGGTGCTTTGAAGTCAGCATGAAGCAGCCCTGTCTCCAATTATCAAAGCTGCCATTGAGGCTGCAGTCCTGTGATTCTGCAGGGGGGAAAATCCTCTTCACGGGGTTAAACTCAGATTCTCAGTGGACCCTTCGCAGAACTCAGCCCCGCCCCTTTGGGCCAGACACATACATACAGGAGGCATTTTTGGAGGGCGATGAAATCCCAGTGTAACATTAGTTACACTTGGCAAATGCATTTAATACTTAGAGCAGTCACCTATTCAGCTGAAACATGTCTAGTTAATGAAGTACAGTGAAGCCCACTTCAGCATAACGAACCTAAGAAGGGCACTGGCATTCTGTAGCGGTACAGGGTCTGGGTGGGGTCTTCCATTTCAGGAGAGATTAAAACCAGAACTGTTTAATTTGGAAAACTGAGGAGTAAGAGCCCATACAACAGTGATGTATAAATCAATGAAATGTACGTCTTCAATGGGCTTAAAGTCCAGCTCTGCTCTGAAGAGCAACTATATAAAAATGGCATCTTCTTACGCCGGGATCTCTTCCTTTTGAGTATTCAGGGTCAGATCTGCTGACTTGATCTGCTGAGTAAAGGAATTTTCATTGGTCTTAATTCATGTTTAGCCCTGAAGAGCTACTGTGACTAAGAGAGAGTTGGATTTTATAATACAACTGTATAAAGAAACTATGGCCCTGAGCCTGCAAAGACTTGCACGCGTGCTTAACTTCATTCACATGAGTATCCCAGTTGAAGTCAATAGGACGATTCATAGGTGTAAAGTTAAGTGTGCGCGCAAGTCTTTGCAGGATTGGGGTCTTACTGCATTAGAATTGGTACCATACATTTAAGAAGAGCATTGAAAATCTGTTCAACACCACCCAAAAAGTACTACTTTGTATTTCAGAAACCTCTGCTATTGATTATGCTGCTTTCCTCTCTTCCCCTTTTTGTATTAATTAGTAATATCCTCCCTTTTCTTACTCTGTGTATTTCCACGCACTAAACTGTTAACAGATCACACAGCTGATACGGATCTGCTCCGCTGATTTACTGACAAGAGTTTGTTTATTCCACAGATTAGGACTCGCAGACGCCTACCAATGGTAAGACTATATATTGCTTGGTCTACAAACAGTATCTGTTCTCTTACTATTATTACGGAAGAAGCCTTTTCATTGGGGCCCTCAGTGAGCTGCAGCCAGTCACAATGAAGTAGCCATCTCATCTAAACACAGTTTAACCACGTTACTTAAAGTTTATCCTCCCACTTGTTTAGTTGCAGCCAGAGTTGCATCTTTCATTCCTTTCATTATTGCACAAAATGGATTAACTTGCTGCTTATCAACGATTTTTAATATTAAATCCTTAAACTGTATGCAAAAACCCAGAATGTTACTGAAAAATCCCAGGTGCTGTTGCATGAGAGAAATAGGGCACAAAAACCACAAGCAGTTTTTGATCTTTAGTGGCTGCATGAACAACTCCACTTGCAATTGGCAGGGTAATGAGGCCAAAACACCTTCCCAACAGAGTAGGTGAAGTAGTTACAATTGTCCCCCTAAAGAAATAGAATAGAACAGTCCTTAAATTTAATAAGGGGAAAATAGGCTCCCTGAGTTTTCTCCTATTAAAGTGACTGTCCAGATGCTGTGTCCCTTTTGAAAAATTATGAATTATTTGTATTATCATAATAATGCTTAGGATGCATCTGTTAATCATCTGGTAGAGGAGTGATGTTGCAAAGTGTTTCAAACGTAGGAGAGTTTATCAAAAAGTGCTTGAGTAGCTAGAATAACCATTAGGGAGGAGAATACTTTTTAAACCGATACCTTGGATTAAGAGGCTGTAATGAATGCAGGATTCCCTCCTGCATCCTGAAACTTCTTGGGAATAGCACAGCACAAGGTACCATAAGCCTCTACATCAGCAATGTGTAGACAAGGCAAATGAAACTTCTTCCCATCTTTCATGGATTTGTAGGCCAGAAGGACCATTATGATGAGCTAGTCTGACTTACTGCTTAGCACAAGCCATAGAATTTCACCCAGTAATTTCGGTGTCAAGTCCGTAAGTTCTGTTGGAACGATGGCGTATTGTGGAGGAGTTCATTCACCGCAGGAGCACCTCCTAGTGGCCAGGCATGGCATAGTGGTTCTCTGCTCACTGAGTGCTGCCTTCCAATGGTCGCTCCAGTGCTGCAGTCGTCTCTTTCACCATCATTCCGCCCTTCAGCCGGATCATGATTTAGTCCATCCCTTCTGGGGTAATTATGTCCCAACTCAAAGGGACAAAAACTCTTCTATCCTTCCCCAAATCAATCGTCAGTTCACTTCTTTTCCCCCCTCCCGTGCTCTGTAGAGTTCATCCTCCCTCTGTCTGAGAGAGCTGCTTTCTCTGGAGGCCCAGCTCCTCCCAAACCACTGACACTCAGGACTTCTGCCCTGGAGCCTGTCTTCTCCCAGGCCTGCTTTAGAAAGTCTTTCTCCCCAGCTGCCCTCTCCCTTCAGAAACAGTCTGAGTCCTAGCTCCTTCCTGCAGGCCCCTCTATTGATCCTTTCCCTTAGTTTGTGCCTTCTTCCATTGCCAGCTTTCCTAGCCTTGCCCCCTCTTTCAAAGTTCTTACCCAGACCTGCCCTTCTCTTAGGGCCCGCTGCCCAGGGGTGTTCCCTTCCCCTGCAATCCAGCTTTCCTTCCCAGCCTTCCCCTCATCTAGCTAGAATCCCAGGGCTTACTCCTCACTGCCTCTCTATTGCCAGAGAGTGACTGCAGACTCTTTCTCTCTCTCTCTCTCTCTCTTTCCATGGTGAAGTAGATTTAACTGAATAGTCTATAGCCACCAATTATAATTGCTAAATACTCAGTCATTTATATCCTTTCACTCTGCCCTGTGTCCATCAGGTGCCTTTCTGCTATGACCCCATTTTCGTGATATTTTTCTAAGTAACATAATATGACTTTTGTTATCTAAAGCCGGGGAGGGCACACTATGGCCCGCAGGCCAGCAGGGCTAAGGCAGGCTCCCTGCCTGCCCTGGCCCTGCGACGCTCCTGGAAGCAACCGGCACCATGTCCCTGTGGCCCCTGCGGTAGGGGGGCAGAGGGCTCCGTGCATTGCCCTCGCCTGCAGGCACCGCCCCCCCACACCTTCCTTTGACTGGGAATGGGGAACTGCGGCCAATGGGAGCTTTGGGGGTGGTACCCACAGGCGAGGGTAGCACGCGGTGAAGCCGCCTGCCCCACTACACCCCCAGGAGCCACTGCCAGACATGCTAGCCACTTCTGGGAGTGGCGTGGGGCCAGGGCAGGCAGGGAGCCTGCCTTAGCCCGCTATGTGCTGCTGCCACCCCAGAGCCGCTCAAGGTAAGCAGCGCCAGGCCAGAGTCCGTACCCTGAACCCCTCCTGCATCCTGCACCCCAACCCCTTCCCTGAGCCCCATCGCACCCCGCACCCCTCCTGCACCCCAACCCCCTGCCCTGAGCCCCTTCCTGCACACTTCACCCCCTCCTGCACCCCAACCCCCTGCCCTGAGCCTCCAGCCGCACCCCTCCTGCACCCCAACCCCCCTGCCCTGAGCCCCTTCCTGCACACCGCACCCCCTCCTGCACTCCCTCCCGCACCCCAACCCCCTGCTCCAGCCCTACATTCATGGCCCTGCATACTATTTCCCCACCCAGATCTGGCCCTCGGGCCAAAATGTTTGCCCACCCCTGCCTTAAGCTGTTTAAATTCCTCAACAAGCTTTTCCCTTTTCTTTATCAAAGCCCTGACATACCCATAAAAGGTGATCAATTTGTTTCTTCTACCCTACAGCATGCACATAATCCATCTCTGGGTTTATTTTTTCAAAAGATTTTTGTTTAAATCACAGTGACCAGTCAGTACTCTGAACAAAATCACTTCATTTTTCCTATCCAGGCCCTGAAATATGTCATTATCCTGAACTCCAGGGCACAGTTCAAAATATCTTCTACCTCTTTTTTCGTTGATCCAAAGATTTTGCCGCCATTCTTTGAAATTTTTCTGCACTTGGCTTTAGAATTCCCGTTTGCTCACGGTATTTCTATGTCAATCCTTCCTTTTCTTACAGTGCTTTTAGCTGCTTTGTCCCATCATTTCAGTCCCTCTTTACCCCAATATGCACTGGGATTCAGGCTAATGCTACATGGTTCCCCATCGCTACTAACTCTGTCACTAGAAATATAATTTGATTGATTAAATCACTTCTGCATTCAGAGAGACCCTTTCTTATTGCCATAAGGCCTGAGACTGAGTCTGGGAAAATGACCGCCGCTGCTGAGGGTCAGCCCCTTTCTGCTACAGACCATCTCTCTTTATACTAACCAGCTTACTCCTTCCCAGCTGGGTTCATGATCAGTTAAGCCTGGCTCCTCGTCCAGGCGCAGCCTGGTATTGTTAATTGGCCTCTCGGGCCCACATTAGCCCCTTCAGGGCCCGCGTGGGATACATCTTTTGGAGACATCCAGTCATGACTTAGAGCTTGCGAGTGGGGGAGAATCCTCCACGTCCGTAGGTCAGAATGCAGGCAGAGAGCAGCTCATCTGCACGGCACATGTTGTCAGAAAGCTGCCACCGGCTCAGGACGTGGAGGGTGCTCAAGTCCAACAGCCGCAGCCGGTCTCTGCTTCCTCATTGCACCCGTAGAGCTGAGAATGGTGATTGAGACAAATCATAGGGATACAGAAGTTGTCGTAGCACCTCAGATGACTGATCCAATTAGGCTGCTCTCCTGCTCTCAGAAGTGCTGGGTGCTTCCGAGGAACGTGGCACCTAGTTTAATTGCACAAAGCTGTAGTGCGCCTGGAGAGTGGAGAGTAACTTCTTACTATAGATTCATAGATTCTAGGACTGGAAGGGACCTCGAGAGGTCATCGAGTCCAGTCCCCTGCCCGCATGGCAGGACCAAATACTGTCTAGACCATCCCTGATAGACATTTATCTAACCTACTCTTAAATATCTCCAGAGATGGAGATTCCACAACCTCCCTAGGCAATTTATTCCAGTGTTTAACCACCCTGACAGTTAGGAACTTTTTCCTAATGTCCAACCTAAACCTCCCTTGCTGCAGTTTAAGCCCATTGCTTCTTGTTCTATCCTTAGAGGCTAAGGTGAACAAGTTTTCTCCCTCCTCCTTATGACACCCTTTTAGATACCTGAAAACTGCTATCATGTCTCCTCTCAGTCTTCTCTTTTCCAAACTAAACAAACCCAATTCTTTCAGCCTTCCTTCATAGGTCATGTTCTCAAGACCTTTAATCATTCTTGTTGCTCTTCTCTGGACCCTTTCCAATTTCTCCACATCTTTTTTGAAATGCGATGCCCAGAACTGGACACAATACTCCAGCTGAGGCCTAACCAGAGCAGAGTAGAGCTGAAGAATGACTTCTTGTGTCTTGCTCACAACACACCTGTTAATACATCCCAGAATCATGTTTGCTTTTTTTGCAACAGCATCACACTGTTGACTCATATTTAGCTTGTGGTCCACTATAACCCCTAGATCCCTTTCTGCCGTACTATTCCCCATAGGAGGTCAGCTTAAGCCCTGCAGCATTCAACCTGCCTGGTCATGAATAGGGTCCTGCTGGTTGGCTGGATTTGAAACAATAGCTCTATGAAGATCCATGCTGGGAGATTGTGGCAGGCTATGTTTGTAATGGCAGGGAGGCTACCAACATTAGCAGGAAGGCTGTGCCATATCTTTCTAACTTTCATGGGGAAGCACAAGGAGTCATTGTCAACAGCCTGTCTGTGTTGGTGCATGGGGTTTCCATCACGTTCTGGAGGCACTTTCTATTCTGTGCCCACAGTCCACCCTCCCACCAACCGTACCTCCCATCAGGGAAGATGTGCCCGCCGGACACAGCATAGGGAGCAATTAACACTGTTGTAACATTCACGGCTAAGACCATAAGAACGGCCGTACTGGGTCAGACCAAAGGTCTATCTAGCCCAGTATCCTGTCTACCGACAGTGGCCAATGCCAGGTGCCCCAGAGGGAGTGAACCTAACAGGTAATGATCAAGTGATCTCTCTCCTGCCATCCATCTCAACTCTGACAAACAGAGTCTAGGGACACCATTCCTTACCCATCCTGGCTAATAGCCATTAATGGACTTAACCTCCATGAATTTATCTAGTTCACTTTTAAACCCTATTATAGTCCTAGCCTTTACAACCTCCTCAGGCAAGGAGAAGCTGCTATTCCTCAGCAGAGGGATAGCTTCTGATTTGGTACCTGGATTCCGCAGGGGCTCGTGCGCTGGAAATGCCTGGATAGGAGTGCACAAAAGTGCTCCTAAACCCTGATCTCCAGCATCCGCCCAAAGAGCGGGCAGTTATTGAGCTGATCTGCTTTGCTGTAGCCGCTCCTAATTATCCATCAGTATTACGGCGGGATCGGTGGCAAATCCCCGAGTTGCAGTTGCACTGAGACTTACAATTACAGCAGGACAGAACTTGCTCTTTTTACATTTTAATGATTGGATTTAGTCTCCAAATTCGACACAATAGCTCCTGGGAGGGTAATTGAAACGGCTATATGATTTTTAAAATAAAATATTGAATAACGTTTGCACAGGAAATGCTTTAAAATGCTCCTTTTCTGAGATCCTACATAGAACAGAGTATCTTTGTTTGCCTCTTCCTTCCACTGATCATTGTGGGACCTCGGAAATCATAATCCGACCACTCCTCAGTGTGTTATTTAAGGAGTGGCTTGCCTCTAATGCACCCATTGTACCATTGGGAGAGGAGGGTGGAAGGAGAGAATCAGTGATCTGAAACAGACAGTGTTCCCAGTCTCATCGTTTATTCAGCTGACGAGTGGGCTTTAATAAGAAAATACAGTAAAATTCCTGAACCCATCTTGATCTCTTTCAGTTGGATACATTGTGTGTGTGTGTGTTGTAGGTTTTCCTTTGACTGATATTGGAGAGGGTCGTTCAGCATTGATTTGTGCAGTTAATTAAGATTATTTCCGCTGTCCTTTCTTTCACACTGTAACTAGCCAGGAACTCAGTCGCCTCATTTTAATGCTACTGGTTATCAAATTTGGGTATAAGCATCAGAGGGGCAGAGTGGTCCAGTTTCTAGGACCCTGGACTCCGGGGGGAATCAGGAGATCTGAGTTTTCTGGCTCTGTCGTGTCTTTGTTTCCCCTCCCACCCTTTGTCTGTCTTGCCTGTTTAGATTGTAAAGTTGTTGGGGCAAGGACTCTCTCTCACTATGTATTTGTACAGCGCCTAGCACAATGGGGGCCTTTAGATGCTACCATAATAATAATAATAGGGACACTTTGTCCCCGAGCTGCAAGTTCTTGTACCGTGCCCACCCACACTGCACGTAGCAGCCCAGATGTTCTCTAGATATTGGACTCGCTTCCTCATTCTGACTTTCATCGTGGACATAAATGTTGAAAGTAGCTTCACGCTTGTCCTTTTGGCATCTCTGCCTAGGGATCTGGATTTCCCAGCATTCGCTCAGTGGGATAGCGACAGAGCAGATGGGTACGTGTGATCTGCTCTTTGGAGGTGGAGGTTGCTCTGTCCCATTGGAATTCATTCCCTTTTTGATTGGAGGAGGGCTAGCCAAGCTGGGCCCCTCCATGTTGTAATATTCTCCTCTGAGCCTCAGTGGCAAGTGTGATCTTTCTATCAATATACTGAGTAGGGTAGAGGTGACCCTCTGTGGCAACAGAAGAAGGAAAGAACGTAATGACATTAGAAGTAAAAACTATCTAGGGCCATGGCATTTCAGCTGCTTTCTCTCTTTGCGACCCACTGCCTCCTCACTCCCACTCCCCTTCTTTATTCTACAGTGGCGAGCAGGGCAGCAGAGGTGACCTGAAATACAGCAGTGCTCACTGGCAGTGGGTGAGCTTCATCTGTTCTAGCATTTCCACCCAATGGGTAATAGCAGCATTGATAGGCCGCATCTCCTCTGTGAGCCACAATGCAAATGTTAAACTCACAATCCCCTTCTGAGGTGGGGAAATCGTGTCTTCCCTGTTCCATAGATGGCGGTGCCCAGAGAGGGGAAGTGACCTGCCCATAATGGCACGCAGTAAGTCAGTGACCTATTGAAATCAAGGAGAGTTTTTCCATTGACTCCAGGGAGTGCTGATTCAAGCCTTTGTCTTCGGTTCACAGAGCTTAAGTTTTGACCCGATTGCCTCTCCAACACAGCATGTCCTGTGTGCAACAGAAGCAGACGTTATACCTACCATCAGTACGTAGCAATAGAGCCTGGATATTAACTGAAATATTCAATTACAGATACATAAGGCCAGAAGGGGACCACCACTCTGATCATCCAGTCTGGCCGCCTGCACATGTATTTCACCCTGTAGGATCCTGAACAGCATAGGAAACTGAGAAGAACTTTGAGATGCAAAACTGAGGTTGTTTGAGGTCAGCATTGATCAACCCAAAGATCCAAGGCCTTTTCCAATGGGAAGAAAATCAGTTTCTCCCCAGATGTGAGCAAAATCTTTTTCTTTCTGCTCTCATCCCTCATGGGAAGGTTGGATCAGTCAACAAAGCAAGATTTCTTTGGGATTGTTGTAATTTCACTAGAACTTCTTTCAGTTTTACAAAACATTTCCCCACCTTGAATGTTCAGGTGCATGGGGTGCCTAAACGCCTCTGTTCTTTCAGGCTCACTTCTTTAACCAGCAGAGGGCAAGGAGATTTCAGTGTAATGAGGGGATTAAAAGGGATGGATTATGTTGTTTGGAAAGGAGGTAGAAATACATCCTACCGTGAATGGTAGCAAAGAGGGTGCTCCTTTTTGCCTTGCCCTGTAATATAGCAACAGGGCACATGACAAAGATAAAAGGGACACATGTTTGGGACACATGAAAGGAAATGATTTTTTAACTTGGTATATAATGAACTCCTGGAATTCACCACCCTGGGATGTTATTGCAGTACATAGTTTAGCAAGATTCAAAGGTTACACGGGCTATCAACTCTCCAGCTGCAGGGCATAAACTGATTGCCAGCTGGGGTCATGGAAGAATATTTCCCTTCATGGAATTACATTGCACAATCAGCCAGGTGCAGGGGGAGGGGTTCGCTTGCCTCTTAAGCCTCATGTGTGAGCCACTGCAAGAGGCAGCATGCTGGGCTAGTCCGTGGCTATTTCGTGGTGGAAAATGTGCAGTGTGCAGCTTGTTGAATAAAGAGACCCGCAAGGAGCATTTTCCAGCATAAAGGAAATTTTCCATGCATCTGCCACAACCTGCTTTTTCTCTTGTCAGTGCAGTATTGAAAATGTCTCAACTCCACCACTGGTGATGCGCTGACGGGGAAAGAGCTACTCCTGTAGCAGTCATCAGAAATGGGTTAAGTGCCTGATCCAAAGCCCATTGAAGGCAGTGGGAGCTTCCGTTAACTTTAATGGGCTCTAGGTCAGCACCCAGGTCTGAATGCGTAGGTTAGCTTAGTGCAGGTGTGAGCAGCCACACTGCAAAGCCCTACCCAAACCCAAGTTGCTGTATCTCGTGTGTGTTGCTGCGGCTTCTGGGGATATATTCCAGGGTTGTTTGTGCTGTAGTATGCTGAGCCGCTGTATGATTCTTTCCTAGTGAATTGTGGGAGAACCTTTCTGTCCTTCCGGCACATAGGGGAGAATTGTGGGAAGGCATTGGACATCTGCCAGCACTTCAGTGGTTTAGCCTGCGTCCTCACTGCAAAGCGGGTGTGTTAACAGCCTGAGCGAAAGCTCTAACCTGTACCCCCAGCTGGGCCAGCTAGCCTGGGTTTAAAACCCCAGATGTGAGAAGGTTATGTGTGTGGATGGGAGAGGAGGGGAACGAGGGGCAACACCTGAGGAAGTGCCCGAGTTAACTCTACAGTGAAGACATACCTTTAATACCAAGCCCTATTAGGCAACGGAATAGTGTGCCAGGACACATTTTGGAAACCCCATCACTTAGCACATTTAAAACTGGACTTGACAGAAAATTAAAGAATCTTTGCAGGGCAAAATTCAGCATCAGTAGGGGAAGGACTAAATGAGCTAATTAGATGTCTTCCATCTCTAACTACAGATACTTTTGATGTTGCAAGAGTCTGGGTCAAGCAAAGTAATTAAGATGAAGGAAAAACTCAAAATGGAAAGAACCGCTTTCATTATCTGAGCACAACCATGTTGTAAATGTAACTATTTAAATTGCAGGTATCTAGATCTCCGGCAGTTTGGATCGGCCCCTCATGGAGGCTTCGGAATGGGGTTTGAGCGCTACCTGCAGTGCATCTTGGGAGTGGACAATATCAAAGATGTTATTCCTTTCCCGAGGTTTCCTCACTCCTGTCTTTTGTAGCTCCATGGCTGACTCACATGGACCAGACTGCGCTGGAGTGTTTGTATGTATAATGTGTCTGCATATGACTGCTTGTGATGATACTGGGGAAAGATGGAGAGAATTTTTGTACCAAATAATCCTGTGGTAAATTTAATGGAGGGAGTTCATGAGCGAGACTTTTCTTGGGAGATTTAGACCCTACCACTTCTTAGTATTATTTATATAGCACTTTAAATCTTCAAAGCACTTCAGGTGCATTAATGACTCTTACTTAACTAAAGGGTTAAAATCCTCATAGGAAGAACAAAAGTTAGGACTATAATGAATAAGCATCGTTGGGAGCTGATATTTTTTAATGCAAGATGTTAATAAGGGGGTGTGACCCAAGCACGGGACTGGGAGTCAGGAGTGCTATGAGGTTTAATTACATGTCTGTACAGTGCTTTGAAGATTGAATGTGATAGAACTGCTCGGTGTTACCATCACTGACACACATTTGCTTTTAAGAAATGGCTATTGTAAAGCGAGAGTCTCCTGCCCTGAATTAAAAGCACGTACATGTTGAGGTTGGAAAGTAGATCCTAATCAGCTGAACCTTGCCAGGAAAAATGTCTCTTATATTGTAACTGCCGGGGTGAGGGAGTTGATGGCAGTTGATTTTGTGAGTCAATAAAGATGCATAGTTGGCTTTTTCTCTCATGGTTTGTTTTTCAGTCATTAAATTTTGGTATTCATCATAATGGTGATTCCTTCAACCTGTTCAGCAACTGAATCCTTTACCTTACACCAGACGCAGAGCTCTGTAAGAGGTGATCTATGCATACTGTCTTAAAGAGAACGCAAATTCATGGGAAGAAAGAAATGTTCGGTTAAGTGGAAGCACATTTGAGCCTCTGAAGCCAACATGTACTTCCCATTTTTCTTGAGAAATGATTTCACGTTCAACTGGCCAAACAGATATACCTGCGTTTGTAAAGCCACCCTATAACTAATACACACTCCCAGTCATTGTATATCAGGTAATTATGACTCTCTTCACTGATACAATATTTGATAGATTTATCCTCCTAACACCCCTGCTAGGTAGAGAAGAATTTATCCCCATTGTGCAGATGGGAATTGTGTGTAGATTAAGTGACTTGTCCAAGGTCACACAGGAAAACTGTGGTTGAGTTGGGACTTAAACCCAGGCTTCCTGAGTTGCAGTCCAGTGGCCCTGTCCACAGCGCCATCCTTCTTACCTTGCACATATTGTCATAATCCTGAACTGTGAGCTCTCTGGGGCAGGGTCTTTGTTTCTCTCATTTGTATAGTGCCTATCACGACAGACCCTAAGCTCTGCTGTAGAATAAATAATATGTACAGAAAAAGACTCAGAAATAATAGGGTTATTTTTAATGACTACCATGTAAATAGTTGTATGGAGTGTGCAGGGGGTGCAGAAGAGCTGAAATAATTTTTTTCCCCAAGCAGGTGAAAGAGAGTGAAAAACACTGATTAGATAATGTTACACTCTCACAGATGTCACCAGCGTTGTGGAGCAGTTTAACACTGTCAACCCTTGAGTATCCAAAAACTATTTCTCCAGGCCAATGCCAGTGCCCCTCGATGTATCACACACATTGAGAAGTCTCCCTTGTATCTACATTCTTCTTATGTTCCCCATCTCATTTGATTAAACAAGTGTTTACTGGGCATTAGTTGGTATACAGCTCTCGGTGTACTCCAGGGAATTATCCCTCTACATTTAGGGCCTGATTCAAAGATTCCCATTGACATCCGTGGGCTTTGGGCCAGACCCTAATTTTGTAATTGCCCCTTGGTTAGCTGCAAGATGTGGAAAAACTCCTGCAGTCAGACAGCTCCATACTTGCGACATTACTAAGTAGCCTCCAGAAGTATGCAGTATCCATGCCAAAGTTATCAGTAACTTAAACTCACAAAATGGCCACACTGCCACAGCTGCAATCAGTAGAGGCATTTGAACTAGTTCCCCAGCACTGAGATTGTTTGTTTGTTATTATTTAACATTTATTGGGCTGCCATAGGTGACAAGAATGAAGGGGGGAGTCAACAGCTCAATAAGCAGGCAGATCTGAATGACAGGGCGGACTAAATGGAGAAGGGCCTTAAAGGCAAAGGTAAAGAGTTTACAGTTGATGCAGTGGAAGACACACAGAAAGGGGTGATGTCAGCAGCCTGACAAGCCAGGAACAATGATCCTGGCAGCATTGTTTTGAATGGGCTTAAAGGGGGCAGTGTGGTTAATACCAAGGCCGAAGAGAAGGAGATCACAATAGCATAAGATATTGATGGCCTGAGCCAAGAGCGCTGACAGTCTGGACAAACAGAAAAGGTCAAATCTTTGAAATATTATGTATGTAGAAGCAGCAAAATTTGGACATAGTGTTGAGAGAGCCCGGTCGAAGTTGATGCCAGTATTAAGGGCCTGAAGGCTGGTGAGTGGTGTCCATGGTGATGGAGAAACTAGGGAGAGGTGAAGGCTGGAGATGAAGCCGGAGATTGATTGATAGATTTTATGGCCAGAAGGAACCATTAGATCATCTAGTCCGACCTCCTGCATAACACAGGCCAGTTACCCCTGTATCAAGCCCAATAACTTGTGTTTGACAAAGCATATCATCCAGAAAGGCATCTGCTCTTCATTTGAAGACTTCAAGAGATTGAGAATCCACCACTTCTCTTGGCAGTTTGTTTCAATGATTAAGCACCCTTAAGCTATTGTCGTAGTTGAAGTTACGTAACTTACACCGATTTAGCTCGTTCCCCTCCTTTCCCCCCCAGTGTAGACCAGGCCTGAGGTGAGTATTGTGACTGGCAGTCCTGCACATTCAAAAGTGTGAGAACTGCACTGCCCGTTAGTCCTTCTGGAACCTCCCTTACAGCCAAATTTCCAGGTATCTAGTAAGTATGGGAGTCCTTTCCCTTCCAAGGCTGGCATTGTTAGCCTCATGTCATGTGTACGTAATGCTAGCAGGTATTGCCAAGGAATGTGAGTTGTTTTTCCCTGGGATTTCCATTTGGTACGTCATGCATTTCCTTCAAATTTTATCTTAGAATAAAAGGAAGTTAATTTAAAGGTTTGGGGAGGCCGTTCCTCTTGGACGTATAGTCAGTGAAGCATGCCAAGAATCTTGCTGGGTTTTCATTTAGAATCTGTCTTCATTTACTGGTTTCAGCAAAATAAAGACTTTCACTTTTGCAAGTAAGATCCTCTTGATTATTTACACTTAGCAATCAGTTCTTAACGTAAACATGTACTAAGGCAAGTGAAACTGGGGGCTTTTGAATGCAGTAAAGAGATTGGCTCTCATGTCTGGGTCTCCAGCCCAGACACTGCATGCAACCACAAATCACAAAGTCAGTCAGCGAGCCATCTGGGGTTCAATTCCTGCAAAGCCATCGCTGCCACGTCTCAGGTTTGTCAGCTATCCAGCGGCCTGAGATTAGACTCGATGCGTTTAATAAACTGGGTTAGTTGTCCACAAAAACTGCTTGCGTAGAAACTGGCACCGAATTGTGGGAGAGGAATTTTGAAGCTATGCAAATAACAATAATAAAAATAATGCTATTGATTCTGAACACTGATGTACTGAAACTCTTGCAGCCAAGAGCTTCTCCATAAGAATATTCAACATCAGGAGAGTCCAAGAAGGCTACAAACGTGAGGATACTGTGTGTCTTCTAAACTACCCAGAGAAGAGAGACTTTTAGATTAAGTTTGCACTTTTAAAAAATAAAAAAATATTTTAGCTTCCTCACCTCTAAATATTACAGGGGCCTAGTAATCAGCCTGGGAGCTGGGGCCCATCTATCATAAAGATTACCTTCTCCCATTTATTATTATTTAGTATTTGTATAATGGTAGGGCCTAGCTGCTTCAGTCATGGACCAGGATCTCATTGTGCTAGGTGCTGTACAAGCATAGGACAAAAAAGACAGCCATGTCCCCCAAATACTGACAATCTCCCCGTGCAAAACTGCCACAGTTACCATTGGCAGGAGCACCAGCGCCCCACTAGCATATAGGGCAGCTGGCAGGGGACACGGGTTTGGAACCCACTCCCCTGCTTGGCCCATAATAGCTGTAGTTGAGAGGCCATTGGGGGCCCATTGGTTTTCCCCAGGAGTGAGGGGCTAGCAAAGCTCTGATCAGAGATGTTAAATATGGGTTTGGCTGTGGGCTAGTATTAGGTGCTGTAGAAGGGGGAGGGGGGGTTACAGAAGTGATCTGTTCATGGGGGTTTGAGAATTGTCATACGCAAAGGACAGACGCTTCCTTTTAATGGATGGTTGTGAGGTCTAAATAAATAATAAATGATGTTTCTGTGCCATTAAAACCCAATAACATTGGTTATTGCTGTGGTCTCTGCCTGCCCCGTAGACCAAAAGAGAATTACAGTAGAATCTCAGGGTTACAAACACCTTGGGAATGGAGGTTGTTCATAACTTTGAAATGTTTGTAACTATGGACAAAATGGTATGGTGGGTCTTTTAGAAATTTACAACTGAACCTTGGCTTAACTCAGTTTTGAAACTTTACTATGCAGAAGAAAAATGCTTATTTTAACCATCTTAATTTAAATGCAAACACACAGTTTCCTTACCTTGTCAAATCTTCTTTTAAACTTTCCCTTTATTTTTATAGTAGTTTACATTTAACACAGTACTGTATTTGCTTTCTTTTTTTTCTTTTTGTCTCTGCTGCTGCCTGATTGCGTACTTCTGCTTCCAAATGAGGTGTGTGGTTGACTGGTCAGTTCCTAACTCTGAGGTTCAACAGTACAAAATGGGACTGGAGGGGAAAAGGGAGATATTTTATATAAAGACTGGCAGTCATAATTTCCCAGCTCTTCACAAAGCTATGGGGACCACAAGAGATTGTTACTTCTCAAGGCTGAGCTTATTGTTTTATTTCATCGCTCCTTGCAAAGCTGCACCTTTCAAAGGATCATAAAGTTTGATTTTATGATCCCGATGGGAGAAAGGTGTGTTTAATTTCACAGAAGAGTTCTGTACCAGTTATTTCAGAAGCAGGCTAGACATGGGTCTGAGCAGGAGTTCAGATATTGTTTTGTGGTTGCTACTCAACGTATTATTATAGTTATTTGCATTACAGTCGTGCCTAGATTGTGACGTTGCACTCCATATGTTTTATGGAAATAGGTTTATGAGTGAATATGATGTAACTGGAATATGCTTTATGCAAAAGGTCTCTTGTAAGGAATCATTACAAAGGTTATATTCCTCCTATTTGTATGCATGTATCATTCTTGTATCTGAAGCTAGAAATATGAAGTATAATTCTGAGGTCCTATGTAATTATGCAAAGTGTGGGCCATTAATGGTGGTTTAGAATCTTGATGGCTCCCATTGACTAGGACAATTGGGTGTAGATGGTTTATTTACCTGGGTACGTGCAGTCCAGCCCTGGAAGAATGGAGGCTGGGGTCTCACAGGACATGTGAACATGTCACCTGATACTGGAATCCATCTTAAACTTGGTGCTTTTCCTTTTAGAAGGAGGGATGGGGACCCAGAGAGACAAAAGATTCCCGCCTTGTGTCAAAGCTATAAAAGGGGGTGGAACAGAACAAAGGGGGTGCCAATTATGAGAACACCCCTGCTTTCCACCTAAGATGTCTAAGATGGGGAAGGGGT